GGGTTACATAGAGGCAGAGTATTTTTTACGGATGTTACCCATAATTTATTGAATAGGGATATTTATTCATTTACCATCGAATTAGGACATGTCACATGTCATTTACAGTCCGTTCCTATAAATAATCCCATTTTTGCTTTAGATATCCTCGTTGATTTTAATTTATAAACTTGAGTATAAAGAAACAAACAAACAAGAAAGAAACCCTCTTTACGTGCGGCAATTCAAGATTAACTCAAAAAGGAGATTTTGTACTTTCTCGCGAGTCTTAAGGCAGGTGCTCCGTATTTTAAAACTCATTTTAGGGAGCAATTAGCCACGTGGTCTCAAGAACAGTGTGACGAACCAAAGATAAAGTTGCCTCCGGTAGAATGAACAATTTTAATGTTGGAAAGTGAAGGAAATCTGGGGAAATTGCGAAATTATGTTCTACCTATGTCATTGTACTTCTTTGTGAATTTGTCGGTTTATTCTTGATCATGAGCAGCTGTGAATCAATGACAGACCTTCAGTGGGCTCTATTAGTTCGAAGAAAAATAATGGACTGGGCAAATAACACGCATTTAAGTTTAATAAAAAAATGATTTAGCTTTAAGTCAATGTCGTCTTGGGACGCAAGGCTTGTTATTTAGAATTCTACGATGGTTGATCGTAACAATGCACAAAAAGTGGAGACAAATTCCTCATAAATTTGTTTCCCTAAAGTGTGTTTTCATAGCCTGCATAATCATGGGAAAGCACACGTCACATTTCGGTCACTTTAATTTCAAAATTCCGTTATGGAATCGTCGCCTTCAGGTCAATTTTAGTTTTACCTCATAGCCCTCTAATCGAAGTTTAATTGCATGCAAATGATTCCATGTATTTTTGACAGGTCCATGACATTGAAATAATGAGACGGTTCTGCAATGCGCGCTGTGATGCTGAGATAGCGGACGATGAATTAACTTTATTTTCAGAAGAATGTATTCTTGAGGTGAAGCAACCACAGGAGTAAAGTCCGCGCCGGAACCAAAACTATAAATTCATACAGAGTTTTATTTGCGCCGTATTTATTCTTATTAATGAAAATGCGACATCGATTTGCCAATTTTGTATTACGATAAAACGCGGTAGCTTAACGCCCCTCAAGACAGTGCCTGAGTAAATACTTGTTTAATAGAGCAAAAACGAAAAGCTCTCTCTCGTGAATTAATTGATATAGTTTCCAATCGTTGTTTCTTTAATTTGACTTCAAGAATCTGTAGTCAACTTTGGCCTTTATGTTTAAAGGTGCAGTTTCTACATTTCCTCAAGAGTCTTTGTCAGCCTGACTGTTAATAAAATAGTTCAATTAATGTTTGATGGGAAGAGCGCTTTCACGCGGCGCTTTGCAGCTTTACATTTCCTGAACTAATTCAATTCCTAATGATTCAAGTTTAGGAAGACAGCCTTTTTTTTCAGTTTTTGTCAAGATCATGTCGCATTGATATCAAAAGAAGCAGCCAGAATAAAAGTTTTTTGCGTAGCGCTATACAATAAGTATAGGAAATGCTTTTTTGAAAAATTATCTTCAAAACCAGCATCTGCGAAATAATTTGACACTGAACAGCTACGTCCACGCAATTATTTATCGTCAGCTTTTTGAAGACAAAAACGTACTGAAAGTTTCTTTACTTTTTATTCAGGCGTAAAAGAGAAAACTCGGTGAGAACGAAAGCTAATTCAGTAAAAAAAAATTCTGCATGAACACTCTTTCGTTCAGACGCAAATTGACATAGGATCTTAAGCATAATAATCTATCTTACAAGAGACACTAAATTTAAACAAGATATTGCGCCAGTTTGGCCCTTCGCCGCTAATGGTCGTATGGTTGAGTAAGTGTTGAAATAAACTTGGAACATAAGCACCAGCTCAGCTTAAACAAGGCGAAAAATTTCTAGTTTCCATAGTTAGAGCGGCACGTGAATCGTTTTCTTGAACGTAGCATTTGTGTGATTGAGGAATCATTGCGGTATCAGGAAGTAGACCACATAACAAGAAAATCCGGCCGAGAAAATAAACTATATTTCAACTATCGTTAGTGACATTTTCATTTCCACAAAAAAGATAAGCTCATGGTATGAAAATCATAAAGAGACTTACCTACGGCATATGAGAGTCATGTTTGGATCAAATTACATTAAACGAATGAGGCTTACATCACTTACCATCCACAACTGAATCAGGTTCGGTGTATTTTGCCGGCATGGAGCCCTGTGGCTGCCTTGTTTGTTCAGTTTAAAATGCTAGCAAAAATGAGCACAGAGGGGAGAGGTTTAAGCTTTAAAAGTACCGTGTGATAGTCACTGGAGCTCGATAAATGAAATGACGCTTATCTCATGTGACATGATGGCTGAGCAAACTAGAGATGAAAAAGACGCATGTACAGTTACGGTTGAACCGTGCGACGAAAAGCGTCAAGCGACGATGCCTACGTAGATGATAATAAAACTGACCTAGACACCTCTTCGCGATCTGTGTACATGTTAGGTCGGAGATTCGAGTAGAATACCCCTATTATTGTATAGTTAGTTCATTGACAAGCTAGCGGACGTTGTTGCAGAGGGGCTGCTCTGTGTCGCGGATTGTGGTCTTACTGTGTTATGGGAAATGAAACTGGAGGAGCTTCTAGTCATGGCAGAGACATAAGAAATAGGTTTTACATAACATAAAATTGTGGCCGTGCAGTGTTGAAATGACACAGGTTTATCAACACAGGTAACAAAACGACACAGAAAACAAAAATACGAGAAAAACTTATATGTCTGACTGCTTTTTCTGTTAAGTTATACACCTGATAAACACTCGCTATACTCCGCCATAGCTTTGTATAACAAGATAAATCACACTCATTTGGATTAGTTCTTACTAATGTTCAATTGGAGGACAGACTCCTCGTTGGCATCCTTAAACAACATTTAAACAAATAAATATTGCCGTGGGTCTCTTCAGTAGTAACTCATAGTGGGATCACTAACGGTTTCTGGGAAACCACTCGATTTTTAATCGTCACGATTTATGAGTCACTCGATAAACGATTTTCAACGAGACTCGTTTGTTCGAGAGAATCGAAACGAGTCAAAGCGAGGCTCGTTTCACGAAACGAGACTCGTTTGACACAACGAGACTCATTTGACGAAACAAGACTCATTTGACGAAACGAGACTCGTTTGACGAAACGAGATTCGTTCGGCAAACGTCGGCTCTCGGCGCATGCGTAGATGTCTAATTTTTTTTCCCCAAGGTTGTTGTAGGATCGGAAGGTTAGCGCTGAGATATTCGTACAATACGTAAAGGTAAGTTCTATTTTCTGTCTTGGTATGGTAAACGGGTAGGGAAGGCCTTAACCAATATTATTATATGGCTGGTAGCATATATTTCAGCACATAGAAAAAAGCATTGAATATATGTATCGAATAAAGTTCAAAGCTTCCAGGCCCAATACTAAAGTTACTTCATTCCTCCACAACGAGGGATGGCAGAAATTATAACCATCTCAAAGATATAAATTTTGAAAAATAAAGGTCAAATGTTCCTGAAACTTCATGTGTCATAATGCAAGGAATATTTTATCATACTGTGCTGTTTTAGTTTTTTTTTCTCTTTAATGAAGACTGTATTCATAGGATATTCGATTTTAAAGACATGAAGGATAATTTCTTTCTTAAAATGAGTTTTTCCTCGTAAACCATCTTTTTATCTCAGGGATATAATCAAAATAAATACAGATTAAAATGAGAAATCTAACTTCGCTACAAAAAATTTTCCAGATTATTACAGAGATGAGATTGCTTCGGTTGGTCTTGGATCACCAATCTTTCTATCACGACGCAGAAAAAAGGATAGTTTTAGAAAGAGAGCTTTGATTTATAAAATGATTTTGTTAGAGTTTTTAAGAAACAAATAATGAGGGGAATATATTTGGTTAATGACCATGATGACCAAAACAAAAATTGTTATTATCTGTAGCATATTTATTATAGCTCAATGATATCTTTGCCTCTGGAAAATGTTGTCAAATATATCAAACAACTAATACAATAATACAATACAAATTTACTAATACAAGGTTATGTCAAATTTTCACCAGTTATGGCAGCACATTAAACTCATAGAACATGTTTTTGCACATTGGGGGTTTAAATTATTTGTTACTTTGAAAAAAGGTATCCAGCAACAATAATTATTTTGGTTTAATTTGTAGTTTAAGGAATTTACTTACCCTTTTCATTTTCTCTAAATTAGGGGAATCTTCTGCTCCTTCTTTCCCTAGGGCAATTGTCCCTGACCCTTGTGCTACTTGACTAGTTAAATCAAATGTTTATAGAATTTTCTTAGACATTTATCAATAGTTGAATATCATGAGTGGAGTCAACTCCGAGAAATTTTTTGATCCAATTTGACACAAGAAAATTTTCAGATGTTTTAGCTAAAATTAATGCTGTGGAAAAATACAATTATTATATTATATTATTATATTTATGCATTTTGATGCTATTTTTTTTACCAAGAAACGTGATATTTGCTTTAGATTTTGTTGTGTTATGTTATCGCCCACCTTTTTGCTGAAAGATGACAACATTTTTGGGTGTTGTTTATGATACATGAAAAGGCAGTAATTGTACATGAAATTTGTCCTTTTGTTGATATTTTTGACTCGTGACCAACTGAAAAATTAGATATTCTAAAATGATTTACTCACCAATCCTTTGTAGAGGTGGATGGTAAAAGTTCACATAAGCAACGAATTGCATGTTCCAGTTGTTCATCAGATACCTCTTTTAGGGATTCTCCTAGGTGTAACAAAATGTCTGATGCTGATTGTAAAACTAGCTTAAAAGCTTGGTAACCAGTTCAATATTAATTCAAGATATAAACAAAACATTGTTTAGAACTATTAGGACAATTTAAGGAGACAGATTTTTAAGGCAGAAATTTTTCATATGTTACAATTTTAGTTTAAATTTATATGCATCTCCTCAACCAATTGACTCCACAGAGTAGATAAGTCCTTGAGCTATTTTTGCTATTATGCACATCAGGAAGGAAAATATACAGATTCAGACTCTACAATAGCCTTCAGAAATACATTCTTTGTTTTATTTAAGAGGGTTTGATAATTTTCATTGATTGGCAAAATCTTTAAACTTACCTGAAAAGCAAACATTAAGACAGGGATCATTTGGTTTTGGGGTTAGGATCATTAACTCACTAACTGGAGCTTTTCTTCCAAATGTGGTCTTTACTGCAAAAGGAAAATATTCAAGTATTTTAATGAATTTGAATGTTATGTTTTGATTTGGGGAAGCTATTTGTTACAAATGTTGGTAGTGCTCTGATGAAAGGAACATTGCTCTGGAGTCTTAATTATCTGATTAGAGTGACAGGTTCTAGACATCAACATTATCAACATTGGTTTTACCCATAAATGTTAATTTCATGGTTGTAAACCTATTAAATTATTTTAAATCCAATTCTCACAACCTGTGCATATATTATTATTCTATTATGTACTGGTATATATTTTAATCAACAATATTACTACCTTGTCTTCCAGTTTGGCTTTTAGCATTGTCAATCCACAAGTAGATGGACTTAAATTGTGCCAAGCACTTTAACAACCTATTTAAGGTGAAACCAACGGAGAAAAAAGGATTTCAATTTATTAAAACAATAGAGCATTGGTTTCTTAACAGACAGATTTGCTTCAAAACATGATATCAAGTATCTTAAGCATCACAGTCTTCATCAGTTGAAGAGTTTTAAGGTAAATATTTCTAATTTCGAAGCACTTAAGAACTTAAATGTTTTAATTAAGCAATTTACCTTGCCATGTGTTCGTCATTGTTCCCAGGGTAAAATAGGGCCAAGACCAAAACTTTCTTGGCTCTTGCCGCTTGATGGCAAATCTACATTTCCAACAAACATCCAAGAAAGAACAATGTATTGATTTATGCAATTAAGCAATTTTTTGTGAATATCAAAAAGTAAATGTTAAGGAAGCACATGATATGAGAACAATAATTGTGGCTGTCAAATTTTGATACAACTGTGGGTGGCTGACCAGCGACATATGACAGGTCATCAACACATACCTCCTCGAAGTCGACATTCACAAATACGGGCTGGACATCTCTTTGCTCAAGCACCTCTTGGAAGCATCGAAAAATTTCACTGAATTGACTATCATCTGAAATGAAGAGAATATAAACATTACCCGTAACAAGTAAATAACTAACAACTATGAATTCATGTCCTGCTCAAAACTTGGACTTCTAATTATGTATCTACTATACAGATGCAAATTTTATTCTGGAAATAGGTTAATAATAATAACATAAAATGTAGTATAAAAGTTATAGCACAAACCTGGCACAGTCTTTACATCCTTTAACTGTTCTCGTTATATTCTTCAGCTCTATAATTTACCCGTATTTTATTATCATGACTCATTACTTTTTCGATCCTTTCTTCTCCCTTGCTTCTAGCATGACTGTACTAGCAATTACTATAAATTTGTGGGTTGTTTGAGATCATGGGATTTCATTGCATCCGGGATAAGGATTTGTTGAATTGATGCTGTTTACAAACCATCAAACCTGCATTCTACCTCTTTCCTGGCGTGCCGCAATTGACTTTGTGGCGTTATTTTCTGAGGTTGCCAAGACAGACTTCATCAAGCTGTCATCGTCAGAGTCTGATGTTACGGTAACTGCCTCTGAATTTTGATCCTCTACATCTGTTGCCTGGTCATGAGTTTGTGCACTGGACTTGCGCGTAGCACCTAAGATTTAATTTTTCAAATCAGTTTAACTTTGGAATAAATGCATATGAAAAAGTGATTTTTTAAGTTCAAACTATCAGCTGGAAATTATGTCTGGTTGAAAACTTTCAATCGCATACAAAGCTTAAGAAATTTTAGGGGAAAGTAATCTTTGTTTGAATGTTAGTACAAACATAGTTCTATTTTACAAGACTAGTCGGTAAGTACACAGCACTGTTACAGTAATTTTTTTGTATTCTCATCAATATGGGTGACTTGGTCTAAATCATGTAAATGACACTGCCTTTTAAAGCAGTCATTAAAAAATGACAGGAATCAGAGTTCTATTTGCCCAAAGCAATAAGCATTAAACGCATTAAGGGAATACAGTACCTTCGCTTTTCTCAGTTGTTGTCTTTTTTGGGGCAGTAGTGTTTGGGTAGTGTCCACCTATAGGACAAAATTCTTTACTATCAACTTCACATTTCAACATTATTGTTATGCATTTTCAGAAGTACCTGTTGTGATACTGATCATGAAACATTGCTGATTAGTTTTCATTCGAGCTTGCCCATTTTAAATTATGTCCAACTGTTGAAATTGAAAATTGATGGCAGGTTCTGATCCTGAATGTTATGTTTATTTAGACAGATGCATTTTTCCTAACTTAAATGAGTGTTAACCAATATTTCAAGCAGTTTTCCTTACTTTTTACTGGAAAGCAATGAAGAACAGTAATCAGAATAATTCAATATGTATAATAATAAATCTTAACCTGGGTTTTCTCTGACCAAGATGAAGATTTTTCTCGTGGTCGTGCCGCATTTCTGTAAAATTGACTTTGCAGCGGGTATGCCTTTTAACACCCTCTCCATCCTGCTCCCTCTACTTGTGGACTTGTAAATATGAATGCTAAAAATTATATCAAAAAGTCAGCTGTAGAGATCATAGAATGTAAACTTGTTAGTTAAACAGCAACTTAATGGGTTTTCTTTATACTTATTTGCTTAGGGTTAGGGTATGCATATGCCGCGCCAGCAAACCTCTCCTATGAAAAACGAGATTAAAACATCCAGTCCAGTAATGGTTATGAGATAGGAAAAACACAAGAATAATCTTGTTGGTAACTTAGTGGAAAAAGTTAAAATTTATTTATATTACCGGATTGATCCTTTCGACCTCCTTGACCATTCAAACTCTTAGCTGACTTATTGACTTCCTTATGAGTTTTTAAGTCTACTGGTTTAAACACTCGTTATTCAGTGGGATGCCTGTGGCAGGCCCACGGTAAGGTTTGCCCGGCGTTCCTTTTCATCGTCGACGTAAATATACAAATTTTATTAAATTTTGAAATGCTTGAAATGTTTTACATTTTCCATATCTAGTAATCGGTTCTTTGTGTTTGCGTAAGGTTATTTCTACGTTTAAACACACCATTTTGGTGTGAGCTCTTCGCCGCCATGTTATCACAAATGGATTTAGGTAAAGTTGATACGAGGGAAGCGAACGTTTTCGTGTGGTTAACCATGAATTGTGTAATGAAATCTACCGAAAAACCTCTCACCTTGCGTCAGGTTTATTTTTAACATGTATTAGTTAAGTGTGTACAGCCTGTTTCCGTAATTCTTAACGTGTTTGATACACACATATTACAAGGGCTGGAAATAAACATTAAAGGGGAGAAGTCGTTGTCAGCGGAAATGAATTTTTTTTATTCCAAAGCTGACGTTGCTCTTTGGAGGGATGAAACAAGCGATGAGAAACGCGAGGAGATCAGTAGGTCGAGTTCCAGTTTGTTTCAGAAATATCCAAAGGTTTTTTAGTCGCCACTCTTGCTATTTTCAACATGGAATGGTGAAAGAATGCATGGAAAATGATTGGGACTCGTGGTTTAGCAATCTTCGCCGCTCGCACTCGTACTAAATTTTTGCCGCGGCGTGCTTAAGCCGCTTTTAAGTTGGAAAAAAAGTGTTGAAACAAAAATTGTCGTCACGAGTAACTGTTATATAGCTAGGGTAGAACACCATTTTAATAAGGAGGGGAAATAATTCTTTGTTGGAGATATCAGGCAAATGAGGGTTCGAAATATAGATGTCTGATTGTATCGCTCCTTCAGAATCAGCAATTGTTCCAGTCTGGAACAGACATGTTCTCCTACTCGGTCGGTCATTTTAATGACGCGGGAAGCAAAGAAAGTTATCCTCTAAGAATGCAGGAAGCCTCAGAACCTTCCAAGCGTAGAACTTTTCACGTTAGCATTTTAGGTGATGGATCGGTAGAAGTGACAGAAGATATTTCTGGGTGGCGTAGCCACGTGTGGGCCAAGTTATGTTTATTTTCCTTTTGTTTGTCTTGCACCTGCCTAGAAAACGGGAACCTAAGAAGTCTGCCTTCTCCCTCATTTTATTTCAATTCTGTATCAAGCACGAGAGAATATTTTCTGTAAATCAAGCAAACGAATGAAAGTCATACCTTTTATCTTTGATGCCGCGCAATCCTGGAAAAGTCGTGACGATTGCTTCCCGAGTCTGCTTTTTGCTCATTCCCGTGGTGAAACAGACCTCTTGCACCCTTCCATCCCGATTCAATAAATCCCAGTTGTGCCCACGTGGGGTGGACTTAACTTTCTCCTTCAGCCATACCAATTCACGTCTAATTTCTCGTCCAGAAGGTAAAGAATCGCTGCTTGAAGAGGAAGAGCTATCACTGCTAGCCATCTTGATGCTTGTGGAATACGTAACATATTATCGAGGATAGGGAGCCATTTTTATAAGACTAGCGTCTCTCTTGGGGTTGTTTGTGGTTAATTAAGACTTCGTCTCTCTGTTCAGTGATTGCCTATGTTGGTTAGCTCTTCTATTTCCGAAAGGAAATAAAGTTGTGAGGAAGCTAACAATGATTTTACACATTATACAATGTAAAAATTCAAAGAGACTGAAAAAGCAATTCACAATCGTAGAACAAAACCGGGTCTTTTAAGATTTTTTATGGTTGCAGAGTAATTATATAGTTAAAGACCGTCAGCGCTGAAATTGACGAAAGCCCGCAAAATTCGTACGCGCGCAAGTTTCACTAAAATCCTAGAAAACTATGTATCGGAAAAGAGCTTAATGAAGCACTTTGCGCGAAAAAATATAATGCAAGCGAGTTTTCCTTTTAGGAAGCGTCAGGACTCGATAAGGCGTGAACCGACCAAGAGCTCTCCTATCGAATTTATCGGGTATACGATGCCACCGCACAAGCAAATTGGCGGCATTAATTAACAAAGGTTTGTCGGGCTTTTTTTTCGATATTCTGATTGGTTGTCTAGATATCGGCATCTAAAGTTGGAGTAGCTAAAAATGTGAAAGGCGTGTTGCGTAAATGTACGCCGCGGGACTAATAATTTCGAATATCAAAATTTCACACTTTCGTTTGTCATTATTCCCGGAAAAGTGGAAAATGCTCCCAAGAGACTCGTCTAGGTGTTGGATTATGACACCTTCCTGATGTAGGACTGTAGTTTCCGGACGATTACCCGCCGGTAATCTGTTCGTTTTTCCACAAACGGTTGGTGCGGGTTATTGGAAGGTGTGGGAAATACTAGAATACAAGCTTCCGGTGTAATTTTAAAACTATAAGCAGGAAAAAAACAGAAATAATAAGACCCAGTTAAAATTCTCTTCCAAAAACTTTTGCAATAACTTATTTATTTTGCACGGGTAGCTCATTATAATAAGAGACTTTCATGTTCTTGATGAAAGCCGATGCAAATCGAAACTCAATAACAAAGATTTTATCTCGTTTGTTCTATTACTTTCATACCTTGTCAATTTCTCAGCTTGTTTCTTTGTTTAGTTCAAATACATTTCTTAAGTACACGGGTAATGAACTTGAAAATAAAAGGAATTTAATTGTGAAAAAGCAGGCTTCAGAGCAATTCTCACGGAAAATGATGCCAACATGTTCATTTCCTGGGGCCGCAAAATTAAAGGAGCGACAGAATATTCGACGCAGCAGTGAAATTTTCTCAGCTAGCACTGCCTTTAGGTGAAGAGTATTTTCCCGTTTCAAACGATTTCTTCAACTCAGTTGATTTCGAGATATTGATTTGTTCTAGAACTGATTTTACAAGTGGCATCATTCTCAATGAAACATCGAAAACAAGAGGTGTGAACATTTATCCTATTGTATGCTTGAGGATGTTATGTCAACAAAACAATGGAGGAACTTTGTGTGAGTTGAAGATTTTCTTTTGTTTTCGGGTGTGGGTCATCTACTAGTGTGGGTAATAAATTAAATTTTTTTTTCTCGTTATTGCAAAAATTGACAGATGCGGTATGCCGCGCGGGTAAACGGCCAGAAATTACGATAACTTTTATTTGAAAATACGTCTTTCGAGGGTTCGCCCAAGTACTAGATTATGACACCTTCTTGATGTACTGACTTTAACATGAAAATGCGTTTTTTAGAGTCTTAATTTTTTTTCCGGAAACGTTAGGTAAAATGTTTGACTTAATTAAGTCCAATAAAAGAAAAAAATATTTTTCGGTATCTGAAGATGGGAAGTAACCTTAAAGGAGTTGATAGGCCTCTCCAATACAGGCCGGAGCTTTAAAAAAAAAAAGTTTACAACATATCATTTCGCCAAGACCGATGCTGATGTAGGGATTCGTAGAAAGAATGGGAGGTGTTGTGATTTGAACATCGCCAGTAGCACATCAAACTGAAATTTGCTGGAATTGAAAGGTGAACAATGACGCACCTACGTTGATGTAAGAGTTGAAAGGAAGTAATAAAAGAGAAAGTGAATATTCACTGGAGAACACAACTTAATCTTTCATTTTAATCTTTGGAGGACTTCATTTTAATAATTGGAGGACTCGATCGATAATTCACTAGACTGCAAAAATAAGTCTACTGTACTGTGCAGTTGGTGTATTGCGAGGCCAGCACAGGCAAGAAATTAGCAATTATGTCGTCAAGACCTCGCCACTGCCTCCACAATCTATCATCAAGGTAGGCCTGGAGGTCATCGCGGGATATTCCTCGCCGTGCTTTAAGAGGCATTTTCAAGTTGGCCCACGCTGACTCAGCTTCTTGTGTATGGATACCAATTGCGGGATCCACAAAATTTTCCGAGTGAACGACAACCTGATGACGGGCGACTCGGTTTGGCAAGTGTCTTTGTAAGTTGCGATATGCTCCCCAGTCGTCTGTGTACACTGTGCTTCCTGGTTGCAAGCACTTGGCCAAAATTGGCAAAAGAGTTGCCCGATCCCTACGCCTAACTACCTGGTAGAAGCCTTTGGCTGGACTTGAGGCTGTGTATAGAACGCCAAACACCCATAAGTCAGGGGCTCGTCTTCCTCTGTTGTACTAATAGAGAAGATATCGTCATAACTTTTTCTATGTAACTGCTTCGATCATCGTAAAATGTTTTAACAAAGATTGTTTGCTAATGCAGTCTGCAATCCACAGTCAGAAAACTGATTTGTCCAGCACAGTCTATTTTAGACGATCAATTTTAGTAAAACACTTTCAATTAAGTTTTTTTAGATCTTGTTGCTAATTGTGTACTTTGAGTAATATTTTAAAGAGTTTTTATGAATAAGACCAAATCAACTTGGGTGGAATTTGTTTGATTAAATGCTGCTACTTAAACTTAGCAAGCTTTAAATTTACCTTTGCTTTATGGTTAAATTTACTCTCGTCACATTTCACAACAGCCGCTCCTCCGACCGGAAACGGGAGAAATGGATTTGTCGCCAAGTCCACGGAACAAATATCCTCTAAGGGGAAGAAATACTTTGCAAACCAGGTTGTTGGTGATGGCCAACATCCGCGACGTCTTCTTGCGGCTCAGGTCCACCGACCAGAAGTATATTAGCATAATGAGCTGTCCTAGAGGTAGCTTCGGAAACTTGGCAAAGAAAGAATTTGTCCTAATGCTTCGTTTCATCTTGCAAGTATAGCATCTCCTAAACAAAGGGTGAGACAAGATGAGACGACCGTTTTAAACATTTGCCGGGATTCGTTAATATACGAGCTGTCTCGGGAAAAAAAAGGAAAATGAAATGGAAAATGAAGAAGTGACAAGGGAATCATACATCCTTTCGAACTACACTTAATTTACATTTTATCAATTGAAAACGGGCCGTCAACCGTGGCCCACCTGCGCGGTGCCTGTCGTTCACGAGGAACAAATTACGAGCAGATGATCACTAAAGCGCTCATGTTGAGGCTGTTTTGGTTTTCCTTTCGTTTTGTTTCTTTTTTGTGTGTTTGTTTTATTTTCCTAAATCAAACATATCAAGTTGGAGATTAAATAAGATTGATTTTAACTGACCATAATTATGGTTATATTGCTGAGCTTCTTAGTCGCATTTTAGAGGATAATGTTCTCTCGCGTAAAAGTCTCCATCGACTTCGTCAAAATTAATCTTTTACCGGAATACTACAAAACGAAGACTAAAATATTTGAGACCTCAACACTTGATCTATAATTACTTTCATGCGAAATCTAGTAGACAAATTCTCCTCCCTACCATCGAAATCCGTCCATGTGGGCATCGGTTCGTTGAACCATTATCATGTCTTGGTTGCACACGCCGCAGTGCAATGGATTGGCCAATAATCCCCGGTTTTGAAACCATCGGATTATCCTTGAAGGGTTCGCGCGCTTTAAATTACTAAAATAGAGGAGATACATGTTGCACACGAAATAACAAAATCAATCAGCCAAGGAGCGCGATAAGACTATCAACCGCTATGTTCGAACATGTCTACTACACCTTTGTTTGTCGTCATTGGTCGATTTGGTGCACTGTCATTCGTGCGTTTCGCTCCTCATTATTTTTCCGACTAGTACATGTTGTTTCCTCTTAAGTCCTCTTTGTTGTTGACCGGCTGTTATGTTGTCAACCGCTATCCCTATTGATGTTATTGGATGGGGTCTAATATGGATGGCTTCCTTGACCCTACGGGTCAATAACCTTAACCTGGTTCCAAACAAGAACGTGTCCTGTTTCATTAGCGTGTTGTGCATCTTCTGAGTTTTGAGTGTGAGCAAGCCGCGTCTCTTTTAAGTGCTCTTTATGGCTCAGTTATTGCTCTTCCTGTTTTCCAGATCGAGTTTCCCTTCCTCGATACGTCATTAAATTGGGACGCCAGAGGTTTCATTACCACTAATGCATACGGAAAGGATACTCGCACAGGCCAATACTTGGCCTTTGACCCACATCATCCTTAGTCAGTAAAGCGTGTTTTTGTCTAGTGTCTACACGATAATTTTGTTCTGACATAGGCGAAAGCGGGTCTGCCACAGCAATTACATTAAGAGGGTTGTTATTATCTCCCCATAAGATTTCCCCCATGCTTCCATGACTAATTTTGGTTAGTCAGCCAGTATATTTGAACGACTTTTATTAATATTCAAGATTCATTTGACACATGATAAATATCATTGGACTGTGGAAGAGAAACAAATACAAAGAGTGAGGTGTGAAGTTTGAGGGAAAGTCAATTTCAGATGACAGGGGTGGGTAATAGGAAGATGAACCAC